GGTGGCTGAGACCAGAGAACCTGAGGGCTCAGATAGGAAGATACTAGAAGAGAAGCAGCAAAGAAAGGTTGAGAGGAAGAAGCTTTGTCTGTTTCACACTATTGTCTTACACTGGCCCCATACCCAAGAACGAGGATGAAAAACTTTGTGCTTTTCCTTCCCCATTCTTCAATGCGGGTCCCTGCTCCCAAGACGCAGGGCTGGCATATCCATAGTGTACTATGTTCATCTCATCTCCTGGCTTCAGAAATCTTGTTTCCTCAACTGTGTCACCCAGGAGGTAAACAAGAGATCAGTCTGATTAAATGCATTCATACTACTGTGTAAATGACAGATCGATTCCTTTAAATTTCCTCTAGCTAACTATTTGAGTTTTGCTACTCCACCAAAGTGAAAGTTCCTAGTCACACTCGTTGGGGTGGGAGTGGTGGTAAAGTGGAGAGTTTTTCGGTTGCCATTCCGGCAAGCCAGGCCCCGCCCTGGAGTCCTGCTGTAGGGCCAGCTCTCCTCCACTGGTCCTATATTTATAGACTTTTTGCCTCCTGCATTTCTTAGCTACCTGTTTACTAGAACAGCAGAAGCGGCATGCTGCTTTGGTCCTAGCAAGAGGAGTGGCTGGACTGGGGTGGCCTGTCCATAGTGGGAAGGGAACAGCCCAGGGACCACATTTAGTGGTGATGTGTCCTTACTGTCAGCGGGGCTATCCATGTGTACATGTGTCGTTAATGCTCCTTCTTTGATGGCTCCAGTACGTCCAATGCGTACTGTGCTGGTCACTTCACTTATACCAGCCCACCTTTGTCCTTGCAATTGTCTGTGAGAGGCATCCTTATCTCTATTTTATAGATGGGAACATTAAGGCTCAGAGAGAGAAAGTACTTACTCAAAGCTTCATAGGTAGGAATTGGAAGAACTCAGATTCAGGCCTACATCTGTCCACCTCTAGAACCCATACCCTTTCTGCCATCAGGGAGCCTCTGGCCTGGAGGTTTAGACAGACACAGCTTTCGGATGGGGAGATTAAGAACCCAGGAAACATGCTGGGGCTTCTGTTAAAATATTAGCATCATAGTCAATTCACTGAACACTCATAAAGGTGTAAGTGAAACAGTATATCTCAGGGAAGAAGAGACAGAGCTTTGTGGTAATTTCAAGATGGGATGTTCTTTGAGGGTTTCCCATTACCTCCTACTTAAAGGCCAAACTCCTTTGCTTAGAATTGTTTATGGAAATTTTTGGAAAATCTAAATAGGTGTAAATAGGGAAGGAGAGAAAGAGAAAGAGAAAGAGGTAACTCCTATCAGTTCAAACGGTTTCCTTTCCTCCTTGCTATCTCTATAACCATCTAAAACAAAATGAACAACACTTAGTATCTCGCAACTTTCTTTTCTTATACTAGGAAGTCATGAATGTCTTTCTAAAATGTATATAGTTTTGAATTTTTAGGTAGTCGCATCTGTTGATTATATGATTTCTTCCGTTTCTTCAGTGGTTTTAGAGTCTTTACTATTATGAGAGTAAATAGATATGGTGTTATCTTCACATTTAACTCTGTGAGCCATCAGAAATGTATCTTGGAGTGTTATACAAAGCAAAGCTCTTACTCGATCCTCCCCCAACCCCGTAGCCATTTTTCCTGATTCCAATTGTTGAAAACCCCTTCAACGTCCATTACTTTGGGATGCTTTCTTTATTATATAGAACATACATTTTTGTAGATGCCAGGGCCTATTTCAGGACTATCTAGTCTATTCTGCTGATCTTCCTCTTGACTCTTAGACTAGTACCACTCTTTAATAATGGGAGTTCTGTAATGTGTTATCTGGCAGAGAAAATGCCCTTTCCTCACACTGATTTTTCAGAAATTGCCTAGCTGTTTGCTCCATTTATTTTGTCATGTGAAATTCAGAATCAGTGGGTTAAGTTTCAAAATCTCATTTGTAATTAAACTAAAATTGCTTTAACCCTTTATATGAACTTGAGGAGAATTAATATTATAATATTTAGTCTCTCCAATTGGGACCTTGTTACACTTTTCTGCCTTTTAGACTTTTTCTGGAGGGTTTTGTCCTTTTTGCCATATAAGTCCTTCCATATTTCTCGTTAGGATTATGTCTAGGGTTTTGGGGGGAGGGGTTGTTTGTTTGTTTTAGCACTTAAAAATTGCTGTCGTGAATGGGAGCATGGAAATTTTTTCCCATATTTCTTTTCATTTGCTTTGCTGGGATAGAATTAGGCTATTTTCTTCTCTTAATTCTGGTATAATCTAGCCAGTCTGGCTGCGTAACTTCTTAATAATTCTGCAGTGTTTTAGTTCATCCCTTTGAGTATTCTGAGGAACTTTCACTTTGGTGGAGTAGCAAAACTGTCATTTTGCTTTTTAGAGCTACTCCTCTCTCTATCTGAGTTAAGTCTGGGTTCTTGTCATGGAGCTCCTTGTGGGCAGATGTCTACCTCACCTCTGCCTCCTCCAAAATGCCAAGCACGCTGTAAGCACTCAATGACTGTCCCTTGAATGAGAGCGAAGGTATCCTAGGCCAAAGAGGTCATTCATTCCTGGTCTTGGGGCAGCTCCTTAATAGGTCACTCCAATTCAGAATCTATACCTCAGTTTTATCAGAAGGCTGGGGGCTTTTGGAGCCAGGGGGTCTGATTCAGGCAACCAAGTCACAAAGACCTGAGGCCAATTATCCACTTCCATCCAGATGGAGAGCGGTGACTGGTAACTGCTTTCCCTAGCAAGACCTCCAGGGAGCCTAGAAATAGCAGAGACTATGGTAGACACAGAATGTCTTGCTCTCTCTCCAGCCAGGCCACCCGAGGTGGACCCCTCCCAGGCTGGGAGCACTCTTTCTGTGGAAGAGAAGCCAATTTCAGGCTCAGCCCCTTTCCCATGGGTCCAAAACAAGGAAAATTACACTGGCTCTAGTTCTCTCTTTATTTCTATACTCTGTATAGTTGCCTATATTTATTAGTATTCCATTCTTTAATTTAAAAAATAGTTACATTCACAAGGTTCAAATATAAAAGCAATCTAAAAGGCATACAGTGAAATATCTCCTTCCACTTCTACCTGACCCCATCCATAACTACTTTTATTAATTTATGTGTGTTTTGAACATCTCTTTATTCAAATATAATCAAACGTGAGTATATTCTTATTTTTCTTTCTTCTTACACAAAAGGTAGCATCCTATACATACACTTCTGCGCCTTGATTTTTTTACTTAAAATATACATCATAATAGATTTTGAGCATTCATTATATGCTAGTCACTGTTCTAACTACACACACACACACGCACACACAATTTAATCCTCTTAACACTCCTTTTATTATCCTCATTTTGTACAGCTGCATAGTATTCCATTGTATAGGGGCATCATAATTTATATAATTCATTGCCTAGTGATGAACACTTAGGTTGTTTCTGTTCTCTACTATAATGGGCTGTATTGGATTGTACAGATGTCATTTCCTACATGTGGAGATAGAGTTGCAGAATACCACAAACTTAGGGGTTTAAAACAGTACATAGTTATTATTGTGTAGCTCTGGAAATCAGAAGTCTGAACTGGGTCTCATTGAGATGAAAATCAAGATGTCAGCAAGGCTGTCTTCTAAAGACTCTTGGAGAAGATCGATTTTCTTGCCTTTTCCAGCTTCTAGAGTCTGCCTGCATTCCTTCATTCATAACCCTCTTCCATCTTTGAAGTCAGCGGTATAGTATTACTCCGATCTCTGCTTCCATCATCATATCTCCCTTCTCTCGCCTCCCCTTTCCTTTATAAGGACTCTTGTGATCACACTGGGTCCACGCAGATAATTCAGGATGATCTCCCATCTCAAGATCCTTAATGTGTTCACTCTTGCAAAGTCTATTTGCCATGTAAACTAATATTCATTCACAGGTTCCAGGAATCAGTACATGAATGGGAGCCATTATTCCGCCTACTACAGTTTGTATCTGGACTCTTACCACTTACTAATTGTGTGACCTTGGGCAAGTTATTCTACCTCTTGTTCATTTTCCCTATCCTTAAAATGGGCATAATAATAGTTCCTACCCCCATAGGATTTTAGGATTCCTTGAGTTAACATTTATCAAATGTTTATTATGATAGTGTCTGACACATAGTAAATGCTACGGAATTGTCTGCTAGCTGAAATCTATTAAGTAAAAACATACATGTTCTTTGATCTAGCAATACTGTTTTTTTGTAATCTGTTTCATAGGAACAAAAGCATCCATGCATTAGGCTACACAAAGCATTGTCCATATTGGCCAAAAAAGAAAGAAAGGGAAAAAAGATACGTAAACAAGAATTCACTGTAATGTTCATTAAAAGGAGAATGAGTGAATCATTGTGGTCCATCTGGGATATAATGAGCTATTTATTAAAGACAATACAGTTGATCTACTTAATAGACCTAGAACAATATCCTAAATGAACGTAAATTAGAGGAGGAAGTTACAAATGGTATAGTATGATCTCATTTTTTTTTAAGTACAATCATCAACCCCCAAAATTGCTGTATATTTGAGCCAATTATTTAACCTCTGAATGTTTCTGTTTCTTCATTTATGAAATGAAGATAACAATCGTTTCCCCCTAAACAGTCTCTAAGCAAGGGTGAAATAGGTTGAAATGTGTAAAGTCTTTAGAATCCTGCAAGCAGCTGCATAGTCTGGATATTTTTGTAAGGTGGTTTGAGTGGAGAGAGTTGTGGAAGGATGCACCCAGGAGATGAATAACTTTTAAAAAATATGTCTTCGTATTGTTTCTATTGTTACTTCAGTAACTTTTTAATATTCTAATATTTTACTAGTAGTTGAGATACCATCACCATAACCACAAACACTGAATTAGGAAAAGCACGAACCTAGAAACATACCATGATTCAAAGTTTTGTAATTCTTAAAGAGGAACGTAATAAAAATTTAAAGGGAAAAAACAACAAGAGAGCCCTAAATCGGGCTGGCCTTGTGTGTCCACAGCATCTACTGCCGCGGCTGCTCCAAGCCACTGTGCTGCTCCTGTGCGCTCCTGGATAACGGCCACAGCGACCTCAAGTGCGACATCAGCGTGGAGATCCAGCAGCGGCAAGAGGAACTAGATGCCACGACGCAGGCGCTGCAGGAGCAGGACTGCGCCTTCAGTGCGGCGCAGGCACAGATGCACTCTGCCGTCAGCCAGATGGGGCGCGTGCGCAGCGACATGGAAGAGCTGATCCGCTCGCGTGTGCGTCAGGTAGTGGCGCATGTGCTGGCGCAGGAGCGCGAGCTGCTGGAGGAGGTGAACACGCGGTACCAGCGTGACTACAAGGAGATTGCGGGACAGCTGGGCCGCCTGGACGCTGTGCTGCAGCGCATCCGCACAGGCAGCGTGCTCGTACAGAGAATGAAGCTCTACGCCTCAGACCAGGAGGTGCTGGACATGCATGGCTTCCTGCGAGAGGCGCTTGGCCGCCTGCGCCAGGAACAACCCCAGAGCTCGCAAGCTGTCGTGCGCACTGACAGCTTTGACGAACTCAAGGTGCGCCTGCAGGACCTGGTCTCTTGCATCACCCAGAAGACAGGTAAGCACTCGAGCCACCCTTATAGCTGGCCTGTTTACTATTTAAAGGCTTGTGCCTTGATGCTGCCCTCCGGGGAAGGCAGAGCAGAAAAGATCATCTCCGTGTAACAGAAATGGAAACTGGGGGGCGGGTATTGTCTCTTGAGTTTGATCCCATCGTAGTTTCCAGGGCACAGGATAAGAGAGAGAGGAGGCCGTGATATGGGCCACAGCCACCCAAAGGGATCATGTTTGACTAATTTACAAGACCCTGTGGTTTAGCTGTGATCTTGTGACCCTTGGGGAAGTTAAGAAACTACAAAGCTGAGCACTAGACCCGATATCATTTTAACCCTGGAAGGACCAACCACACCACGAGGTTCTCTTAAGTCAACTGGAACATGAGGTTAGGGCGGAAAGAGGTTCAGAAAACCCCTGTGGTGGTTGAGTGCTTACCCAAAAATATGCTATGGCTCAGTGGAGGAGGTTCTTTGTCCCCAGAATGGCCTACCATCTGGACCAACTGCCAAACTTTATGGGCCCTGCCTGGTATTGGGCACTTGGGAAGTGGGAAACAGCAGACGGGTCCTCACTTCAAGTTGTCCAGTCCAGGATGAGGGCATATCACGTAGCTGGAGGATGAGACAGTGCTTGGCTCTGCAGTTCAAATTCAGGAGTTGTAGCAGCTCTGCAGAGCTGGATATGCCAGGAGGGTTTTCAAGAGACATGGGGATGGGGTGCACAAGAGGGCCTTCAGGGTGAGGAGGCTTTAACAGCTTTTTGACGAAGTCTCTAGGCTGGAATCTGAGCTCTGGATAGCTGGTGTGAGGAAGGGGAAGGAGGCTAAGAACCTGAAGGCCCCTGGGCAGGTGCCAGTGATAAAGGAGCCTCTCCTTCCTGCCCTTGGAGCTGATGGATGTGGGTTCATAAAAGTATATTCCTAGAGCAGGTGTGGATTCGTGCCTTCCCCACCTAGGCAGTGAATGTCACCCTATATACAGGAAATCACCCCATAGCATTTGAACAGCTTTCCTTCAGTATTGTAACCAGGCCCTGGCAAAGAAAGGAAATACATATTTTATTCTAAAACATGAGAGATTTAGTTTAGATTTAATCAAAACCAGGCTGTGGGTCAGAATAGTGTCATGGAGTTCTTGCTTTATGCAGAGAAGTCAGTGAACAGTAACGCCTTTAGCATTGTCCACTCTTTGCTTTTGTGTTGGCCCAGAAATAGAGGTGCACTTGGAGTTTGGAGCCAAAGGAAAACGCTCAGTAATGCCACCCCCTTCCTCCCTTCTGACTTGGTTCATGCCCACTGCAGTCAGGGGGCTTTCCTTCCAACTGCCAGCCCCTCCATGGAGCTTTTCCAGTGCTGTGAGAGGTTGTGGAGAATGGGTTTCCAGGGAAAGCAAAGGAAACATTTCCTTTTTCCCTTTGTCACTGTCCCAGGCCAGGATGCCTCTCACCAAAGATGTCCATGACCTGCCTATGACCTTCTCTATGTTCTCCAGATGCAGCTCTACCCAGAAGAACCAGCCCAGAGGCTACCAGCACTCCCAGGGCCCCTTTTGATGTTGACCTGGTGAGATGGGTTTGAGGGCTGATGGGGAGGTGCATGGTCCAGCAGTCAGGCAGGTTGGGAGTTCCCCTGTTTCAGAAAGGAAACTGACACTTGTCGTCCCTGTGTCTGCAGGCAGCAGAGGTGAGAAAGTGCCTGAGAAAGGGACAGGAAGTGGCTAGACTGGAGCTTTTGATAGGAGGGAATAAAGAAAGGATTGGCTTGCTTTAGGCTCCTAAATGCCACAGTAGCTCTTGATAGGACATGAGCTCTTGATGGTTTTAGGAGCAGTTAGACCCAGATATGTACAGGAGGTGAAGAAGGTGATCACTGGTAGGCTCCCCTGATGACTCAGTGCTCTGCACCCCACCCCTTTTCCTGGGGTTAACATGTGGACCTACCTTCCTCTCCTTTTCCCACACACATGGTTCTTGAAGAGGAATGGAGAATGAGGACAAGTGTCAGACCTCCATCCCAGCAGCCTGGGTTCCATTGGTGTGATTTCAGGGCCAACATATATCCAAGAACCATAGTTTCTCAGGATTGGAAGGCACCCATATCTCCTCTAATGTTGGCATTCCTTCTGCAGTGCCCTGACTTTAGCCGTTCAGCTTTCATGCACACACCTCCAGGGACAGGAAGCTCACTCATTTCTTGAGGCAGCCATTCCCATCTCTGGACTACTACCCTGACTTAAAGTGCTTCCCTGGGTAGAAATGCAATGGCACCCCTTTGACTCGCTCCCTGGGGTGCTTGCATGCATGGTTCCTCTCTACCAGGATCAGCTTCCCCAGTGCCTTCCCAGACTGGGCATCTGGTCTCCTCCACATCCTGCTCATCCAGGTTTGCATGTGCTTGCTTGTCTAGGACCCGGGCCCAAGACTAATCAGATCTCCATGGAAAACAGGTCTTCTGATGGGGGTGGTCAGGATGGTAAGCCTTCCTAGCTTTGCTATGGCATGGCCCATAGGAGAGATTGCTGAAGGAGAGGCTTCCAGGAGGAGGCAGGATTTAGGATCTGAGAGTTTTAGAACTAGGAGACAGCTTGGAGTCTAATTTCCTCTTTTAAGGAGGTTGAAGCTAAGGCCCAGAGAGAGGGTGTGACTTAACCCAAGGCCACATGGCAAGCTAGGGGCAGGACTAGAAGCCAACTCCTAACTGTCTGCATCCCCATAACTACTACATCCCCATATACACAACTTTAAAAGTAAAAAAAAAAGGACATTTTACTTTTTGGTTAGGTAATATCACATGATCAGAAATGAAAGCATAGAAAGTGATAAATGTCTCAATCCCACCTTGTCCCCCATCTGTGAGTTCTTAGGCCCACATATCTACCTCTGTGAACTTCTTACATATCTTTTCAGAATTTCTTTATGTAACTACAAGTAAATATGATTACAGATATTTGCTTTTTCCTTTTTTTTTTTTTTTTTGTACAAAGTTAGCATAGTACCACATAGACGTAATATTGTGCTCCAGGCTTTTTCACCCAATGAAGTATTCCTTCCTGATGCCTTTTTCCATCTGCATAGTGGTCTACTGAATGGATGAAGCATGCTTTATTTAGTCAGTTCTCTGTCTATGCATAGTTAGACATTTGTTTTGTATTATAAACATTACTAGAATGAATAATGTCCCCAGAGAAATCATATGAATAATAGTGGAAAATGCTGTCTGGGTCCACAGATCTCAGCTGTCTTTCAGGTGCCCGTGGCTGGTTAATGAACAGCAAGAAAGCCCAAACTGTCTGTGTAAGGTCTAGGCATTTTGCTGGGTCCTTTTCTTGAGGTGACCTCTCACTATCCACTACTAAACAGTTTGAACGTGGAGCATCAGAAGAATGCTCTTTTTGCAGAGCATCTTGTGTTCTTTAAGTAATAGGTTGGAGGAGGGGGCATGCGGAGTTGGGGAAAAGAAGTGAGTAACTCTGACTGCAAAGAACAAGTGTGACAGCTTGAGTGAGGCAGGCATGGTCCGGCTATGCCAGGAGAGTCAATCCCATCATCTATGCCCAGAGAAAGGCAACTCTTGGATTCGTGTCCCTCCCTTAGGAGGCAGGAGCTGGGCTTCTAGTGCCAACACTCATCCTTCTTGAACTTGGTTAACTTTCATTGCAGCTGTGTGCCTAGATGGAGATGACAACAAAATAGGCTTAACTAGGACTGCTGGTGATGGGGAACAGGGGGTGGCTCTGGCATTTTCCCTCCTTTGTTTCTCATAGGCTCTTTTTGTAATAATATTATAATACTTTAATGAAAAAAAACTTAATTTAAAGCTATAAAACATCTATAAATCAGTCATCATGATTTTCCTTTACTGAGCCCTCATATGTCCGCTGCTTCATTAACAATGGAGGAGTGGGACAGAGGCAGAGGAACCCAACCCTGCCTTTGGGGAGTTTATGGCCCACGTGAAAAGGTCTTTTACATACCAACTGTCTGTAGAGCCACACACAAAAGGGCAGAGCAGGATCTTTTCAACTTTATAAAAAATATTTTAGTGGTGATAAAATACACATAACAAAATTTACCTAGAAGTGGAATTGCTAGATCATATGGTAATTTCGTTTTTAATCTTTTGAGGAACTGCCATGCAATTTTCTATAGCAGCTGCACCATTACCAACAGTCTATAGGGGTTCCAATTTCTTCATAGGCTCGCCTACACTTTTTTTTAATAGTAAGTAGTTTAAACTTTTTTGACTGTCATCCATCATAAAAAAATATATTTTACATCTAGCCTACACTCTATATACACACACACATACCTCTAGCTAAAACAGAAGTTTTGCAAAACAAATTGTGTTTATTACATGGGCTCGCTCTAATAGTTTCTCTTCTGTGTAATGTAAAAAATGCGGGTCATGACCCACTCGATTGCTTTCATGATCTACTAATGGGTCACAGAGTATAGTTTGAAAAACACTGGCAGAGAGCACTCAGTGGAGATTGTGCACTTTTCCGAATCAGAGATCGTCCGTTCTCTCCCATTCCCTGAGACAGGCTCCACTCTCTAATCCAGAGACAACTCTCTTCCCTTTTTATAAAGATGCTGAGCAATAGGAACCCGGAAAGAGGGAGGAAGGAAGGAAATCAGTCCATTATAGCAGATGATGTAGGAGCCCACAGCCCACATCAGTGCACTGATACCGAAAAGAGCTCTGCCTGGCTTGGGTCTGGTACCCAGCAGGTGGCCCTGTTGTTCTGGGCCTTCCCTGTCCATCCCAGCCCACATTTGGCCAGGTCATCTCTGGTGTCCCACTCTGAGGGTGGCCTGACTGTGTCCTCCCCCTCAGGAGGGGCGGAGCTCATCCCAATAAGAAAAGCCTATCCCTGGCCTCATAATCTCACAGTTGGGTGCCCAGCTTTTCCGTTGCAGCTCTGCTTGATGAAGAGTCCCCTCTGCTGTGTTGGAATGCCTTTCCTTTACTGTGTGGATAGACCACAGGATCCCGAGTGACACTCGTCCACTGAGCACATGGAATTCGAGGCACCAACGGATCAGATTTGGGACAGGAGGGGCTAGGACCGGAGTCTGGGCCTCCTCTTTCAGAGGAACACTTCCCACATCACTCACTCATTTTCAGCAAATGGTCCAGCAGGCTGTTCAGTTTCATACAATAGGGAAGGATGGTGGGGAGGGATGTAAAAGAGACAGCGACTGAAGAAAAATGTGTGCAGACATAGGGAGGGAACTTCCCTTTCAAAAACGTTGAGTTCAGACCCTTGTCCGAGCTCTTATTAGGTATGTGACCTTAGGAAATAACTTTGCCTCTCTGCCTTAGTTTCCTCCTTTGTAGACAGGTGATTATCATAGGGTGGTACCCACCTCTTTTTTTAACTATAATTTCTTTTTATTGTGGTAAAATTCATGTAAATTCAACATTTTAACCATTTTAAAGTGTAAAATTTATTGACATTTAGTACACTCACAGTCTTGTACAGTCGTCCCACCTATCTAGTTCCAGACTGTTTTCATCACCCCAAAAGGAAACCCGGTAGTGAGGGAGCACGCACTCAACTTTTCCCTTCCCCAGCCCCTGGCAACCACCAAGCTGCTTTCTGTCCCTTTGCATTTAGATATTCTGGATATTTCACATAAATGAACACATATAATATGTATCCTTTTGTGGCTGGCTTCTTTTCACTCAGCATAATGTGTTCAAGATTCGTGTGTGTGTGTGTGTGTGTGTGTGTGAGAACTTCATTTCTTTTTATGGCTGTATAATACTTCCCTGTATGACTATACCACATTTTGTTTATTCATTCGTCCCTTAATAGACATTTGGATTGTTTCCATTATTGCTGCTAGGAACATTCATGTGCCATTTTTGTTTGAACATCTGTTTTCTATTCTTTGGGTATATACCAAGAGTAGAATCGTCAGATCGTATAAAAATTTCATATAAGATTTTTTGAAGAACTGCCTCTACTTTATTTTGGGATGGGTACATGAAGCACTCAGCACTGTACCTGGCACAGAGCAGTAATAAAAAACACTTTTCATCTTCATTATCACATGCTAAGTGCCAGGTGCTCTTATAAACATTTTACTCTAGCAACACACTTCATCCACACTACCCTGTAAGGTAGATAAATTATGATTATTCCCATTTACAGAAGAGTACTGAGGCCCGAGGAGTTCTAAGTGATTTGTCCAAGGTGTTTAATGGCTCTTCTGACTCAGGCAGAGAAGGCCCAGGGGTGGGAGGTGGGAGCAGAGTGGAAGCCACAGGGAGGCCAGTTTCAGCTCAGTGGAAGGATGGCCTTCCTGTTACAACTTTACCTCTGTAGAGGAGCTGGTTCCAGCAGCAGTGAGCACTTTGTCCCTTGAGCTGTGTAGGCTAGATGTTGAGTGAGCCTTGAGGAGTTACTTGGCAGTGATCCCTGGGCACCAGCACCTCAGGGTCACAAGGAAGCGAAGTCATGGAGGGTGTGATGAGGACTCCCTGGTGGGCTCTGGGCTTTGGACCAGGCAGCTTGCACCTGTGGCTGGTTGAGACCCTGGGGGTTGGGCTGACCCTAGGCCTGAGTTCCCAGCCTTGGTCCTGCTGCCCAGTCATTTCTGACTCTCTTTTCCAAACTTTGCAGCCAGAGGGGCCACAGATGGTTCAGGCACAGGCCCTGGGGCTGGCTGAGAATCAGCCTGTGGCTGTGGTACAGTCGGTTCCTGGGGCACACCCTGTACCCATGTATGCCTACTCCATCAAAGACTCCTCCTGTAGAAAGGTAAGTTCTTCCCAGGCCCCACCTTCCCTCCTGAGGGCCCAGATCCCACCAGGCAGTAAGAGGTGGAGCTGGGTGAGAACCTAGACTTTAATCAGTACCTTGCTGTTGGCTGCCCTGTAAGGAGGTTCTCCTCTACTAAGAATGAGCTACTCCCTGGCAGTCAGAGGCCTGGTGGTCCGCAGGCAGGGCCAGTGTGCATGGCAGCTTGGGAGTGTGTTCTGTGTGGAGAGAGGCATTACTTGCATGGCAGATAGCAGAGGGAACAGCAGGAGTAAAGGGGGCAGCCACAGACCCCTGCTACCCAGGTCTAGGTCTCTGCCCACCACCCCAGGACCCCTGGAGGCTCCTTACCTGGCCCTGTGACTCCCCACTGCACAGGAGGTCTCCAACACAGCCACACCACAGAAGAGGAAGTCCTGCCAGACCGAGTGCCCCAGGAAAGTCATCAAGATGGAGTCTGAGGAGGAGAAGGAGGCCAGGTTGGCCCGGAGCTCCCTCGAGCAGCCCAGCACCTCCAGGGCAGTATCACCACCCCACCTGGATGGGCCCCCCAGCCCCGAGAGCCCCACCGTAGGAAATGAGGTCTTACCGCTTAACAGCAACCATGAGACTGGCGACTCTGGAGAGGCAGGTAGGGAAGTGGGGTTCAGCAGAGACAGAGGCCTACACGCTGCCCTCCAGAGGCTGGGTGGGGCCCCTTTCTGCATTCTGACTGCACCCAGAGAGCCCAAAGCCAACAGCACTCCCAATGTCCTGCTCTCAGCTGCCATGAAATGGGACAAGGAGAGCCCACGGTTTGCCTAGGGGGTGAGAATGGATACAGTTTATTTTACCATGTGCTTTGCTGGGATTCCAGTGTGGGGAGCAGGAGGGGCTTAAGCCCACAGATCCTTAGCTCCTTACCCCAACACACTCTTATAGAACCCAGCTCCATGCCTCTAGAGAGTGTGGGTCTCCCCAAGAAACATTTATTTGGTGGGTGCCTAGTATGCTCCCAGAGAGGACTTGGGTAAAGTCCACACCCATCAGTTCCCTAATTTCTCTGCAAAGGCCACCCATCTGAGGTACCTCATTTGTCCTAGACATCTTTTATGGACACTGCCAGACAGGGAGTCCTTGGGCATGAGTTAAGGTCAACCAGTAGAATTCTGGAATGTTCGAGACACGAGACAGTCCAGCTTTCTTTTCATTCTAGGTCACAGACCCTGACTCTGGTCACACACTGAGCCCTAACTGATATTCCTTATTCCCAGATACTATTGTTGATTCAAAAAGTTTTGTTTAACTAACTATAGGGTATCTTTTAGCTTGAACATCTCATGGGGCTGAGAATTGGGATAAAACAAAATGCTTCTTTAGGATCGCAAAAGGTTCCAAACCAGGTGATGCTTGTCAAGCCTCCTCTACTGGGAGCAAATTCTGCATTCAGAACCAGCAGCTAAACTAGTATTCAGAAGGCACAGCAGGCAGTCATGGAAAGCCACTTAGAATAAACAGATCTACAGGGACACACACGGTGACTGTTCATAACGCGCCTTGCAGGGCACATGTCGCCCACCCAGTCCACTGCCCTGGAAGGATTCCCGTGGGAATATGGGGCGGGGGTGGGCTGGGGTGGGGGGTGGATAGCGGGCATCCCCTACAGGGCCTAATGCCTCCGCTCCTAACCAGTTTCAGAAGAGCGCATCGTGGTGATCAGCAGCTCAGAAGACTCAGATGCTGAAAACTCGGTGAGTGGCCCAGAAGTCGGTTCTGGACTTCTGCCTCCCCTGTTTTCCAAGTCCCAGGGGTACAGCCACAGCAGGTGAGTCTCAGACTTGCCTTGCACCTGGGCAATTTTCCAGTGAGGTTGTAAGTCCTGAGCTGCCCTGAGGACAGTCTCCAAATGCCAGCTGTGGGCCTGGACTACCCCAGTCTCCCCTCCAGACCAGGGCAGTGGCCTTCAGTAACCATATGTTCTCTTCTGAAATGTGAATAGATTGCTTCCTTCCAGAGCCCTGTCTCTTTTCTGGACTACCCAGTGCCTTTGTTGGGATTGTCCTTATTCATTTCCTGTCCTCTGCGCCCTTAACAAGGAGGGTAGACAGCAGTGAGAGCCAGTGTGGGGGTGTGAGGGTATGGGACAGCACTGTACAGGGCCCAGGCAAGCAAGTTTTCACTCCATGTAAGAACTTTTTTAAAGCATCCTATAATGGAACAGTGGCTTTGTGAGTTGTGACCCTTCTGTCCCTGAGGCTTGTTAATGGAGGCTGGCCAGTTCCCTGTCCCAGGGAAAAGGGGATCTGAACAGAGTGAAAGTTTGGAGTGGGTGGCCCCCGAATCCCTTCCAGTCCTCAGTCTGAGGTTCTATATTGGAAAGCACATGGAGCCCATGGAGACTGCTGCACCACACCCCCCGCCAGCCCATCCCCTGCCGAGAGCGCGAGGAGCATCCCACCCTTGCCGGGCCTCCCGTCTGCCCAGTGGCACATGCCGCCCCCCGTCTTGGCCTCCCCACCATCCCACCAAGCAAGCTGTCGTCCCTGATGCCGAGTCTCCCAGCCAGCCTGCCAGGTGCCAGGAGCGTACTGTCATCCAACGTGGGATCAGCTACTTGTCTCGAGCACAAAGAGTCACCCGACTTCGCCACATCTTCCACTTGCCACTCAAAATGTATTGTACCCCCATGTGGACTTGTACTTCCCCTGCCACCACTCCAGCCACCACCCCGGCCATCACAGGGCATCCCAACCATCCTGCCAACCCTCAAGAATGTACCACCCCCCTCCAAAGGGCCAGCAGCGAACCCCGCCGGGCGCGAAGGGCAGGGCGGTCCCGTGGCCGCTCCCTCCGGGGATCCTCACGCGTAACCCAGTGGCTCAACAACTTCTTCTCTCTTCCTCTCTCCTCTGTGACTCCCCAGCTTGATGCCTCTCTCAGGGGGGGCAGGGCAGGAGGCAGAGTGCTCCGGATGCTTAGGGCAGGAATCTCCCAGGATTCTGACAGAACCCCTATGAAGAATCCCCAAATCCAGGTCCCACTGGAAGTCTCTCCAAATGCATTTTCTCCACTCCGCCCTCCAGAAAGTCCCTCCACCAGCTCAGCCACACCTCAGACAAGCCTCTGAGAACCCCGAGTGCCTCCCTCTACAGCTATTAGCCACCATCCTCTTGTGACCTTGTGGCCAACACCTATGCCCTACTTCTGCTTTTTCCATCCCCCTGCCTGGCCGGGTCCAGCCCACACACCTAAAGGCCTCCCACACAGTAGGTGTTCATACATCTTGATCAAGGAGTGAACAGTTGCATGGACTCTGGGCAGGGAGACCTAAGTCTTCTTCAGCCAAGAGGGCGTGACTGAGATTCAGGCCACCACTCCACATGCCTGGGCCTCTGCCCAAGAAAAGGAAGCTTTTCTCACCATCTGCACCTCCCACTGCCCCACCCCCTTACCCCAAGCCTTTACTCTAGGTCTCTGCCAGGACCTAAACCCATGAGAACAGGGGCTGTGTCAATCCCAAGGCCTGGCAGGTAAATATTTGTCTCAATAAATATTTGTTGAAAGATCACCCTTGCAAACCCTTCTTCCTTGACCAACAGAGTCCCTGCTGGACTTACCTCTTCCCTGCAGGTAGCTTTTGTCTCCTCCCGGCACTGAAAGTTGGTTCTCCTGTGGGGTTGCAATGTCCCTCTTTCCCGAAACCACATTCTGTGAGTGTCAGAGGTAGGAGATGTGGTCAAGAACCTCTGCCTCCTGGGCTGTTTCAGTCCCACCATCTGCTAAGACCTGTGCCTTTGAGGTTCCACGTCTCAAGATGAACCCCACTTCCCCCAGCTCATCTCAGGCATCCTCCTGCTTTCCCCACATAGAGAAGACTTTGGTACCTGCCTCCTAAGTTTTCTCTCCCTTCTTCTTGGGGGACTGCAGGTATCCATCACCCTGGCCTCTCCACTTTTTGAACTCAGGAGACTTCACCCCATGGCCACCCCCAGGACCTCACCAAGAACTGTCCATCTCTAAAATGATCCACTCAAGACTCTGACCATAGCCTCCTGACCCTTGAGCTCTCCAGTTACTTCCAGGACCTCTGCTCTCTCCCACCGAGCTCCTCCTGCCTTTGCTTCCCTCCAGCCAGCAAGGCCCACCATTACAGCCAATCTTGCATCCAGATCTCTTCACCCTGCCTCCCCGTGGTTTGTTAGTCCTGCCCTCAAAAAGCAATCTCGGAGGGATTCTCTAGCTTTGCCTTCTCTGCACTGCCACCTGGAGGCTGAATAGTGTTGGAGAAAAATCAACGGGGAAAACCACAAAGGATAGTCTCTAAGAATGTGCTTGTCCTGCCCACCCCCACAGCTCACCGCGTCTCCACTGCCCAAGCTCCACACCTTCATCCCCACCCTCATTCTCCGCACACGACCATACCCTCTGCCCCAGAGAGACGACGGGAGCCCTCACATAGCTAGTAGACATCTGCTATCCAATATCTAGTCACAGATTCACCTGACTCCATCACATTCTTCCCCAGTACCTTCTATTAGGATGGAGGGACATCTACTCTGGGACGCTCTCCTTCTGTCCTGGCCCCAGTCCTCCTGTCTTTTGGGGAGCCTCCCCCTACCTCCCCATCCTCATCTGCATCTTCAAATACTTCCAATTCCTTATGAGCTAAACATGCTGAAGGAAGTCTTTTCCCTTCAGAACCTCCCCATTTCCAGCCCCTCGGCCCTCTTTCCTCACCCCACTTCCCTGCTCTCCCCACCATGCCAGTGAAACCTGCCCACCAGCACCGGGGTAACCTCCCCGGGTAGCCTCCAAGTCCAGGGGTCACCTTCAGTTCTTACTCTTGACCAGCATCAAACCCTCCCTGAGAGACTGCTTCCCCTGGGATCAGGAGGTCTTCCTCCTGCAGCCTGGCTGCTCCTCCTCACTCTCCTTCAAGGTCTTTTCCTTTAAATGTTGTTCTTACAGCTTTGGTTCTTAGCCCTCTTCTCTTTTAGTCTATGTACTCTCCTGTGATCTCAGTCGGGCCTGTGGCTTCTTATACTGCCCTGGAGCTGCCGATGCCAGACCAGTACAGCTAGCAGCCCTCCCCCGGGTGCACTCGAGTGCCCCATAGAGAAACCTCAAACTCATTTCCTTCTCTCAGTAAATTGCACCATCTGCCCAGTTACACAAGCTGAGATCCCAAAGCCGCCAGGGACACCTCTTCCTATTATTCCTCACAGCCAATCCATTTTTAAGTCTTGTCGTTCTGTGTTCTAAATTTCTCTGAAATCTGGGCACTTCTTTCCATCCCATAACCTTGATAAAATTAAAGCAAAACTGAGTCTTGGTGGAGGTAGAATCCTGGGAAGGAAACAGAGAAAAGGACTGGATGCCAGTCGTCTTACCAGACTTCCTCAGAGTCAAGTGGAAGAACTGACACCAGCCAAGTTTGGGTGGTGGGAATGTCAGTCTAATCCTCAGATGTCAGCAAGGAGCTAGGTGATGCCTGAGGTTAATCAAGGGAGGAGGGAGAAGCACGTTGCAGGTTATGAAGACTTGAACATTGAGAAGTAGCTGCTCACCTTTGAGGCTAGGTCTGGAGCGAAAGCCAGAGAACCACTGCTTTGATGTAGTTATTCTTCAGACACACAGGTTTTAAATTAACCATGACGGGAGTTCCAAACTTTCTTTAAAAGAAAACAAATTAGGTCCCCCTGGTACATTTCTCACCCATCTTCAGTGCCGTTTCCAGACCCTTGGTTCCCCTAGAGTACCTGCAGCAGCTTGGAGGGAGGGGGCAGGACGACATTCCCTGGGTGCTCCAGGCTCCTGTATTCACATGTCCTCCCCTCTTTGTGACCTTGAACCGACCTTCCAGTGAGTGACAGTTGTAAAATACTGGCCTGCTAAGATACTGCATTTTCCAAATGTACCAGGGCCTGTGCCCCCACCACGACCCCCTACTCGGGCTGCAGCTGTGTCAGTTGCGGGACTCCAGGCATGTCTGGGGGGCTCTGGTGCAGGCCTGCTGGGCTCTGGGAGAGACTGCGTGAGCAGGAGGGGCACTCTGAAAGAGACCTCGCCCCTGCTGGACGAGGCGGTGGAGCTGTAGTGAGGTGGAGGGTGAGACCCAGGCCTGATGGTCGACCTAGGGAGAGGACTATGATTAAAAACAAGAGTAGGTCAGCAGTGCCTCTACTGTAGGCCCTGTGTTAGGATCCAAGGCAGAAAAAGATAGGTGTTCTCACCACTCTTGCGACAGATGACTGGCCCCAGGGCCTGGCAGCAGCAGGACCAAGTAGAAGCAGGAGGGGACTTTGTCAAGAGGGCAGCCACTGGCAGAAGTGGCAGTGGTAACCGGCAGTGAACGGAAGGCCTGTAGGAAGCAGCTGACCCAGAGGAGGGACACTGATGCTGGTGAGTGTGTGTATCAGATTTTAAAAAGTGCTCAGCTGAGAAGATCAGAGCCACATCCCCTGAGAGGCAGCAGCCGCCTGTGAAAGGGCTGGAGCAGTGAGCAGAGGGCAGTGGGGGCCACAGGCTCGCTAATAGTGTGGTTCGGTTCACAGACACATGTGAGGTATCTCCGGGGGCCTTCCAGACTTTGCAAGAGCTGGGATTTTATATCTGCAAAAACCAGCAATGAATGTCTTGCCAAACTGATCCCAGCTGTTGCTTAACCTCAGATGCTAAGAAAGTCCCTCAGGAGCTGGGACTCTTGATAAGCAATAATGACAGATACTAGGTAGATATCTTCAGGTGATGGATACTGAATATCAAAGGGTTTAGCCCGACTGGCTGATGACCAAACATGGACTCAATCAGTAATTAGGACAGTCGTTCTCAACCCTGCCTGACACCATGATCACTTGGAGTTTTACCAATGACAAATTCCTAGGTCCCACCCCCAGAGATCCTAAATGAATCGGTCTGTGGTATAGACTGGGCATCACAAGTATTTCAAGCTGCTAATGCAGAGCCAAAGAAGAGAACCCTGAGAGAACGGGGGGATTCAGTTACACATCTGCGTCAGAGAAATGCTCAGATGTGTATGATCGGCCTTGACTGGAGGTGAGATGTATCTCCTGGGATATGACCCAGCAGGGGAGAGGAGAGCTGGATCTTCCCAGATAAACCTCCTAGACCTTTGGAAGGTGATTAAGATGTCAACCTAGCTGCTTCCTATGAGTACCCTTGGTATGGCTGTTGGACCTGCTGGGTTGAGTTGGAATGCAGCCAGCCTGCTAAGTTGACCTGTGATGAAAATAAGTGAAATACAGCTCGTGAACCAGATTGCGTATGCAGCCTGAAAAAAATCCTGGATTTCTTACGGCTCAGTCTAAGAAACACAGTCCATTAGCCAAGTATAATAAAGAAATTACAGTATATTTACTTGCATCTTTCAAAGACTATTGAAGGGGATCCAACAGATAACTCGCAGCAGCACTTCTTAAATTCCTTTTCCACTTTCCTTCAGCTCTCATCATCTCCACTCTCTACACCCTCAAAATGTTTTCCCATTGTTCACTTTCCAGTCCTTGCACATGGAATCTCATCTCTCCCTACTCCATTTCTGCCTGCATTTCTTTCCCTGACAAGCAAACCTCCGCTTTTTCCAGGGAAAGGCCCTTTCCTGGGTGCCTGGGTGCTGGTCTCTACCACTGTCACTCTCTCTCTGCTCCGCCACCCACTCAGTCATCCTGATGTGGAACAAGGCTGAGGCCTAGGGGTGGAACATGAGGGTTTTCCTTAGCGAGCGGGGATGGAAAGATGTTTTGTGCCAGAGCTTTTTTTATGTGCTGATTGCTTTTCTGTTAAACCTGAGTCTTTAGAAAAGTCTTTTTAAAATGTGCCAGTATATCTTTGGGAGGGAGAATTGAGTTTACAACTAGCTAGATTTCAGTGGAAGGTGTTCCAGTGAGACCAGCCCCACAACGAAGCCACACTTTATAAAAGTCCCCAACGGCAAGAGGGATCTGGGAGGAAGAAGAGTCAGGGCTGGGAGATCCAACCCCGCTCCACTGACAAGCTCAGTGGAAAGGGGATGTGCTTTTTATCAAGGGAGCTAGTAGGCTCCTCAGTAAGTTCAGGACAAAGGACACTTCCATGACTATAAAAGAGAAAATGGCCCCAGGACAAGGGGAGGCTCTAAAAATGAGGTTCTGGTGGCCATCATAAATGACTCTAGTATAAAGATGGGGGAGTTAGCCTAAAGATGCAGCTGTGCCACTCTCCAGGGAGCTTAACTTTTGGAAGAGAATATCTGAAGAGAAGATTCTGGCTTTAAAGCCTGAAGAGACACAGCAGAAGGAAGGAGACAGGTGGAAACTCTCAGGGCCACAGCAAGATCTTTTGAAGTTATGTTTGGAGAAAAAAGAAGAAGGAAGAATAGAAAGCCCAGTGTGCCATGTTAGTGAGTAGCAGGAGTCAGCCGAGGGGATAAATCTTCAGCCATTGGCGAGAAGAAGCTGAGGCCCAGGGGAGGACATAGCAAGGGGAGTCCAGCTCTCCACCAGCCCGAGTACAAGAACGCCAAGGCCTTATGAACAAAACAGCTCCTGGAGTCTGGAAAAAGAAAAGCACTGGTTTCTCCCATCAGGGAAGAAGGTGGAGTCTTCGGTGCACCAGCTAGCAACTTCACGGAAGATGCTGTAGAACAGTGGTCCCCAACATTTTTGGCACCAGGGACTGGTGCTCCTGTGAGAATCTAATGCCTGATGATGTGAGGTGGAGCTGAGGTGGTCATGCTAGCGCTGGGGAGCGGCTGCAAATGCAGATGAAGCTTCACTCACTTGCCCGCTGCTCACCTCCTGCTGTGCGGCCCAGTTCCTAACAGGACCCATACAAAACAAGACATGTAAAATAAGCCTTGGACCATGGCTGATTCAAGGGTACTGATATGCAAGGCACTTGACAAAGTCTCTTATTATTCTGTCTAAAGCTCCAGAACTCACAAGCTTCTCTAAGCGAAACCAGCTCTGGATGGATTCCTAGGGAATGTCTGTTTCTATCGATGACTTGGAGGAAGTTGGTGAACCTGGCGTAGGGCTGTGAAATGCAGTTAAAGTAAAACTCAGCCATTCCTAGGAAAATCCAGCACATTTTACCTGTGGTTAGTAATGACTTTGCTCTTGGCCAAAGTTTTGTTCAAACAAGTGTTTTACCTGGAGAGTAGAAAGGGCCTAGGAGAATATCTAGGCCAGAGACATTAGTCAGAAACCAGGGTTCATGGAGGCCTCAGACGGCCCCAGGTGAGGCTAACTCCATCAACTGGCTAGAGCCAGTCCGTAGGAGAAAAGCCTAAGACCTGCTCTATCTAGACTGCATCCTAGCAGTGCCTCCAGCCAGCTCTAGGACACTGGCCATGTTCCTTTCCTCCTGGTCTCTGTCTAATGTTCACAGGTGACAATCACAGGAGATTCTGAGCAGGCCACCAAAGACTGTGCAGATGACAAGCCGTTAACTATGTTATAAGAGGCTGTGTCCTTGGGAGCCAGGTTCTTCTCCCACCTCAAGGCCTTTCAAACTGTTCTTGCCTTGGTGCCGGGGAAAACAGAAGAAACATGAACTGGGGCTAGGAGGAGGGAACCTCATGTCAAACCTCAGCTGTTTCTCTGGAAGGGGCCAGGAGTGAGTGCTCAGCCCGGAGGAGCCCAGGCCTCAGCCTTTCCTAAGCAGCTGGTTCCTGGATGCTACGTGACAGGGCCTCCAGGCTCTGAGCTTTCTCCCTCCCCTGCTCTCACTGCTGGGCTCTGTGTGTCCACCTAGATGTGGTGTCCTAGGGGCTGAACGGTCCTCTCCCTTCTCTTTGTGTAGGACACTGGGACCTTGGCTGGCTTTGGGGACAAAAAGAGCCAGGCTCCTGGCCCCTTCCAGAGAAACATCTGGGGTTCAAGATGAGGATCCTTCCTCTTATCCCTGGTTCATACTTTTTCTGAGTCTGCTCAGAGTGAGGAACAGACACCTTCAGCCCTACCCACCATAGCACTGGGCCCTCCCGCCAGTTTCTGCACCCAGCACTACTCACCCCTGCGTACAGTCTCTTACGTGTTCACTTTCACACACACTGTATCAACACAGGTTCACAAATTCACACCCCCTGTGCACACCTAGATGCACATGCACACACACTTGCCCACATGCTCTCATCCTGACCCTTCCTCACTAATACATGTGCACTGGTTGACACACACGGCCCGCACACATGCACATACACATCTATGTCTTTTTATGCACACACATTCTCGTGCACATGCACTCACCTAAACAAATACTTTCTCTTTCCCAATAACGTGCCCTCCATCATGTGCATGCACATGTTTTGGCCACACCAGCTTGCTCTGTTCCCACACACACTTACGCACACACAACACCCCTGCTCACCGGCACATGCTCACATTACCAGTATGCTCCCTCTCGCTCTCCGGACCCCTGACTTGTTGGCTTTCCTGTGTTTCAGTCCTTCCAAGAGATGGATGGCAGCAGCAGCGAGTCCAGTGACCTTCAGCTGGAGAGCCCCAACTCCCTCGGGGTCTTGAACGACAGCCTCGCCGACCCCCAAGCAGAAGACAGGCCCCTGGTTTTCTTTGATCTCAAGATTGATAATGAAAGTGGGTTCTCCGGTAGCCTTCCCCATCCCTCTCTAGCTTAGTCTCTACGTTCCCAAGATAAGTGTAGGCAGAGCCATCTGCAAGGTCCAAGGGAGCCCTGAGCTCTGGCCAACGTCCGCAGCCAGAGAAGGGGCAGAGCACTGTGTCTCCCCTGGGACTCCCAGGCGTACCACTTGGTTGTTTGAATAAGGACAGCTGCCTCGACTAGTGCCTGAAAGTGTGAGGCAAGCACCTCCATGAGTTCACCTCTGATGAGCGCTTCTCTTAGCCTTGGGAAGACATCTCTAAACAGAACCACAGTACAGGAAGTCACAGCTATGAGACCAGCAACCCAAGCCAGTCCTTGGGCTGTGACTGCACATTTCTGAGTACAAGGCCCATTCCACAGGGGTCTGCACAGGGAGGCCAGCGGAGCCGAAGTCACAGAGAGATATGACCTCTTCTCCCAGAAGCCCCTCAACTCCTGCAGTGCTTGCCTGGGCCCTGCCCTGGGGCACAGACTCGGCCTAGGGCAAGCCTAGGCAGCTAGAAGCAGCAGGTGTTTCCGCAGGAAAGGGAAGTCACTTGCAGACCTCACAGAAGGCTCTGGGCCACACTTCGAGTGCAGTAGATTGAGCAGGCGTGCTGTTGGTCTCAGGGCTCCAACTGGCTGGGAGCCTTAGCTAAGTGGCTAATGGGATTAGAGGCTAGGGGCAGGGAGCGGAGGGCTAGGTATAGAGACAGAAGACAGAAGGGACCTGGATCTAAAGGATTTGGTGAACTCAGGGGCAGGTAGCAGGGGAGCTGGACTCCCTGCAGGTGATCAAAGGGCATTTGAGGGCAGCCGACCTCGTTCTGTCCTCACCAGCAGAGCCAGGGTCAGAGCTGCATTTGGAGGCTAATGTCTGGTTCTGAAGGCAGCAGGTCCGAAGGTGGGGTCTCTGGACGGTGGGTCGGCAGCCCTGGAGGTCCCCACTCCTACCCAGTGCCTCCTGTGCCTCTGGGGTCTCACCGTGCCCTTCTCTCCTGCCCAGCTCAGCAGATTAGCCAACTGGCAGCAGTGAACCAGAAAAGCAAGTTCCGAGTGCTCATCCAGCCTGAGGCCTTCGGCATATACTCCAAGGCAGTCTCCCTGGAGGTGGGGCTGCATCACTTCCTCCGCTTCCTGAGCTCCATGTGCCGCCCTGTCTTGGCCTGCTATAAGCTGTGGGGGCCCAGCCTCCCCTACTTCTTCCGGGCCCTGGAGGACATGAATAGGCTGTGGGAGTTCCAGGAGGCCATCTCGGGCTTCCTGGCCATCTTGCCCGTCATCCGGGAGTATATGCCCGGGGCCAGCAGCTTCAAACTCAAGAGTCTAGCCAAGACCTACCTGGCGAGAAACATGAGCGAACGTAGCGCCCTGGCCGCCGTGCTGACCATGCGTGACCTATGCCGCCTCCTCGAGGTCTCCTTTGGCCGCCAGATGGCCCAGCACACCTATTCCTTCAGCAGCCTGCAGTGCTTCACATCCCTGCAGCCCCTGGTACAGGCAGCAGTCCTGACACGTGTCGAGGCCCGCCTCCTGGCCCTCCACAACGTGAGTTTTGTGGAGCTGCTGACTGCACACCGCCGTGACCCACAGTGGGGCTTGAAGAAGTATAGCCGCTACCTGCAGGCCACCTCATTGCCTCCTGCCCAGTCTGTTCTCAGCCTGCAGGCTCTAAGCACCTACTTCAAAGATCTGTTGGAGGGGCCGGCCTTGGCACAGGCAGAAGGCACCTCTACTCCTCTCACTGCCCACAGCTTGGGTGAAAGGGCCTCCCAGCAGAGCTGAGAGAACGGGATGACTGGCTTGGAATCTCTGGGGGCAGAGAGGGATGGGGTCCCTGGACCAGGCCCCACCCATCATAGCATTTCAAGTTCCTAGTCCCCAGTACCCAGGTGGCATTCGGTCCAGAATCATTTCTCCTTCTTTGGGACCAAAATCCCCTTCTCTAAAAACCCTACAGAGAAGATCTGGGGCCACCAGATCCTCTGTGCAGGCCCTGGGCGCACCGGTGGGTTAACTCACCAGACCCCTGGCCCCTACCTTCTGGGAGCCAGACCAAGGAGGTCCTGGGTGAAGACAGCCTCTGAGCTCTCTAAGTGGCCCCCATCTTGCCCCAGTCACCTGACTTGCCACTTCCATGGGTATCCTTGCAGCTCCTCCTTGACCCCTGGCCACTGCCCAGGGGACCTGCTGACCACTCCCATGGACACTGCCTGCAACACCGGTGGTACCACAGATACCCAAAGTGCCTTTCAAGCCAAACTGCTCTTCATGAGCTGGGGCTCTCCCAGCCTCTGCCTGCCTGGAGGCTGGCCCTCTGTTCACTTCCCCCTGGAGCATTTTCATCTCCAAAGGGCCCTCACAGCTGCAGAGACGGAAGTTGCCATGCCATGCCTGTCCCCACTTTCAAAGTCTGACCCCTCCCTCCATGCTTGCTTCCTTCCTCTTGGCCACACAAATACCTCCCCTTAGTCGAGGCTTTGCTCTTTGATCTTCAGGCCACCAACCCATCCCAGCATGGCCTTTTGCTCTGTCTGCAATGCCCACCTCAGCCCTCCCAAGGAATATCCTCCAGCCAGTGCTGCTCTCTGTATAGTACAGGGACCCACACATTGGCTTCTCCTGACAGCCTCTACCCCAGGCCTCTGGAATCAGACTCTCTGGAGTGGGGCTCAGCAAGCTGTTTAGTTTAACAGGTTCTCCAGATGATTTTGATGCCCACTAAGTTCCAGAACCATTGCTGTGTAGACTGTTCCTCAAACGAGAAGCAGTGTGGAGTATCTGAGAAAGTCCTGGCCCTGGCACCAACTGTGTTAATTAGATGTGACCTAGGAAAGGGCCCCTTCCTGAGCTCCCATGTCCCCACCCATAAAATGGGCTGGTTGGCCAAGATAGTCTCAGAGTCCAATTCATCTCTGCCATTCTGGGGCTTTAGGAATGGACAACAGGCCACTGAGGCAGTGGACAAGATGGTTTCCTTCTTGAACCCTAGCTCCCAGCCCTAAACTAAGGTCCCCAACCTTGTGCTCACACCAGAGATCAGTAGCAGAACACAGGCAGGTCAGGGTCATCCCCTCTGACTAGCAGAACCACTGTCCCCTTCCCTGCTCCCATCCTTCTTCCTCAGCTCCCTGCTTCTGGGGCACAGCCCAGAACCCCAACCTCTATGGCCTCAGCTTTCATGTGGATGAAGGGCGTGCGCCCACACCTCAGCCCTGATCCAGTGGGTGCCCTGAAGACCCACTAAGGAATTACATAGTATCTTGCTACCATGGCAGGAGTGCTGGTTATAACAGCACCAATGCATTTAAAATAAGATTCTGATTTAAAGCAGGTGCTGCCTCTGAAGCTGGTGGGAACAGACTGATGGGGAGAAGGCAGGGCGGGATGTAACTGTGATGAGTCTTGTCCTGGCAGCTGCAAGGCATCCTCACCCTGGACTGAGCAGTGCTCACTGATTTCTAGCCCCACAACGCTTGCTTTCTTCCGACGTAGCCAATCACAGGCTTTATAACATAATGCTGTTCTGCCCTCTCTCCACTTTCACAGCCTTTAATAAAGATGTGAATCTTCAAAAGCTGATGCCCCAGTTCCACATTCTGCTCAGCCCACCCCGGGAGCCACTGAGCAGCCTCTTGCTTGGTGAAGGGGGCACTTCCAGGCCTTTGGGAATTATTCTTTGTGGGGACCTTTCAGAGAGCCTCTCCTTGATCAGGGCCGAGGGCCTCACATTTGTGAACCCCACATTCCAGGTGGGGAAACCAGGGAGGGCCTGCCAGGGGGGTCATCTCCAGAGGGAGGGAAAGAAATGCCAAATTCAAGAATTATCCCTGGAGAGAGTCAGGAGCCAGAGACCAGGGTCTGTAGGAACTTCACCTCTGCTGGGTAATCTTGTCCTCTGTGTCCCCAGAGCCACAGGTGGTAAAACCCTTAACAAGGGAAGTAGGGGAGGCCCAGGATATTAGCAATGTGTGACTAATGTGTTGTTGTCCTGGATGTCACAGATGGAATGGAATTCACATTAGTACTTTGAGGGATTCCTGTGGCACAGGCAGTGTAGGTGTTTTCACTCCCCTGGCCTGGATAGGTAGCCAGATAATGTGATTTGGTCACTGCCACCACCCTTAACCCCATCTCCTTGTCTCAGATTCCCAAATTCCAGTTCTGAGGTTTTTAGTCTCTAAGAGCAAGTGTCTCATACTTTAATTCTATCTCAGGTATATCGATGTCAACTAATTATGAGCCTGCTGGGCTAGAGGTCAGGACACTGAGTTTCAATCCTCAATAGCCTGTGACTCTGGTCTGGTGTGTCAAGCTCAGGCTCCAACTTTGTAAAATGGGACAATAAGGGCCATTTTTATCTCATAGTATCTTGTGTGAACCAGTGATAAAATATTTGTGAAAATAGCTCTTTAATATATGAAGAACTATACAAATGTAAGATCTTATTTTACAACCAAGATGACAGTGTCTTTATAAGCTATAGAGAAATAAACAGATATTAGATCTTAGCAGAAAAGTACATAAGCTTGTCTTCAGGTTAATGAAGAAAAAGACCTGGGAAGAACAGATAACTGTGGGAGTCCTGGGTTCTCGGGGAGCCAGGAAGAAGAGCAGGGGAGTCTCCCTCGGAATGGCTGAGCAGTAGGTGGTCCCATGTCCCCAGTATACCCGATGGGAGACTTAAGCCACACAGACCTGAGGCAGAGAACAGACTTCCTGTGACATCTCAGCTCAGTCCTGCCCAGCCCAGCCATTCTCCAGTGCCTCCTTATGAGGCCTAAGGATTCATTCACACCCCAAGAAGTTCACTTTAAAAATCTTGCTCTTCTACCTGCATAATACCAAGCTGCTCTCTGGTACCTGGCTCTGCTGTGCTCCTGCCCTGCATCCTCCCCTCATCTAGTCCTAGCCTGCCCCACTCCCATTTTCATTCCTATCCTAGACTCACTCTCACCCCTAGTCTCAACCCTGACAATACTCCATATCTCAGAGTTTATCTTGCACCCTAAACCTCCTAGCAGGCCCTGCTCCTCTCTCCTCTGACTTCAGGCTTGTTTGCACCCCCACATCCCACGTGCCCCAGCTCCTATTTCTAGATTAAGGGGGTCCTTTCTCACCTTTCTTCACGAACATTAACGGAACCCCACAGATAGTGACACCAAATGTCAAATCATACAGGGAAGTACATTGTGGACCCCGCCCAGAAGTAGCCGGGCTGAGCTAGAGCTCCTCCCAGAATCCACCAGCAGAGGGCGCTGCAGCCCCAGCGGTGTTTGACTTCTTCCTTAAACAGAGCTGCTGCTCCACGTGGATGCGGACTGTTTGGTGCTTGGGCTTCGGGCTCAGGTAGCCTGTGCTTTTTTCCAAAGTGCACCGCACATTTTTGGTGGTATGGGAGGTATTGTGAGGTAGATGGCACATGGAGAAACATTTGTTAAATGTTAATAGCTTCTAGAACATATTTGTTCAGAATGAAGTGACTGGAGTTCTTTAAAGGTCTGATTTAAGGACAAATATTAAGTAGCTACAATCTCAGAAGGAACACGGGTATAGCAAAACTTGTGACTAGGAGTGACTTAATTTGGGGAAACCCTGGGTTACCCGTGGAGCTAGAATGAGGGTTATGGATGAGGGTTAGGGCAAAGGTGAGGGCCCAGGTTGCAATTGGGGTAAGGATGGGTGGGGTTAGGCGTGAGGGTGAGGCCTAAGGTTAGGATTTGTGGTTATATCAAATTTAGGGTCACATTTGGTGATTAAGGTTAGGAATTGAATTAGGAATTTAATTAGGAATGGAGTTAGAGTCACGTTTGGGTCTATATGTATTTGTCACTTTAGCAACTGAAAAATCCATGAAACTGGATCCATGAAACAGGATCTTCTGAGGAGGATCCCCTAATATGGCACCCCAAGGGCAGTGCCCCCCCCTCCAGCATCCTCTTGTAGAAGCACTCAAGCACCTCCTGAGCTCACTGAAGAGGATGTGAAATCCAGGAATTACAGTCTCCAGGTGACTAATGCTCCTAAGCTAACATAACTGAAAGATAACTACCTGCTGGACACTAGGTGTTTTCTCATTTAGCACAGGTATCCTCTTTTAGTCTCCTGAACAACCCAGGCAGTTACATCCTCATCCTCATTTTATAGATAAACATGGGGTAGAAAGAAGGTTGAGTACCTTACTCAAAGTCATTAAGCTTGTATGTGATAGAGTTGGGATTTACCCCACAGGAAGCCTATGTCTAGACTGGAGCTATCTGGGTCCCACACTGCTAGGTGCATTGCTGTGTTTTGGGAGAGCCAGTTTTCTGCTCTCTCTTTCCCACGCCCTCCTGGTCTGCTGATCTAACAAGATGCAAAATTCAGACTCCGGAAAGCTCCCACCCTATCCTTCTGGTCCTAGCAGTCAAACTTATCTTAATTCTAATCTTTTATTTTAGAGCAGTGCTTCTCGAACCTTTTTTTCTCCCATTATTATCCCCATAAGGAGCCTTTTTAGACATTTTTTTTTCTCCTAGTCACAGATCCCTGAAATGAAATTTTAATACCATGGATATACTATAGGTCAGTGGTCCTCAACCTTTTTGTCACCAGGAACCAGTGCTCCTATGAGAATCTAATGCCTGATGATCTGAGGTGGAGCTGAGGCAGTGATGTTAGTGCTGGTAGGAATTGAATTAGGAATTTAATTAGGAATGGAGTTAGAGTCACGTTTGGGTCTATATGTATTTGTCACTTTAGCAACTGAAAAATCCATGAAACTGGATCCATGAAACAGGATCTTCTGAGGAGGATCCCCTAATATGGCACCCCAAGGGCAGTGCCCCCCCCTCCAGCATCCTCTTGTAGAAGCACTCAAGCACCTCCTGAGCTCACTGAAGAGGATGTGAAATCCAGGAATTACAGTCTCCAGGTGACTAATGCTCCTAAGCTAACATAACTGAAAGATAACTACCTGCTGGACACTAGGTGTTTTCTCATTTAGCACAGGTATCCTCTTTTAGTCTCCTGAACAACCCAGGCAGTTACATCCTCATCCTCATTTTATAGATAAACATGGGGTAGAAAGAAGGTTGAGTACCTTACTCAAAGTCATTAAGCTTGTATGTGATAGAGTTGGGATTTACCCCACAGGAAGCCTATGTCTAGACTGGAGCTATCTGGGTCCCACACTGCTAGGTGCATTGCTGTGTTTTGGGAGAGCCAGTTTTCTGCTCTCTCTTTCCCACGCCCTCCTGGTCTGCTGATCTAACAAGATGCAAAATTCAGACTCCGGAAAGCTCCCACCCTATCCTTCTGGTCCTAGCAGTCAAACTTATCTTAATTCTAATCTTTTATTTTAGAGCAGTGCTTCTCGAACCTTTTTTTCTCCCATTATTATCCCCATAAGGAGCCTTTTTAGACATTTTTTTTTCTCCTAGTCACAGATCCCTGAAATGAAATTTTAATACCATGGATATACTATAGGTCAGTGGTCCTCAACCTTTTTGTCACCAGGAACCAGTGCTCCTATGAGAATCTAATGCCTGATGATCTGAGGTGGAGCTGAGGCAGTGATGTTAGTGCTGGGGAGCAGCTGCAAATACAGATGAAACTTCACTCACCTGCTGCTTACCTCCTGCTGTGTGGCCTAGTTCCTAGCAGACTATGGACTGGTACCAGGGGTTGAGGACCCCTGCTATAGATTCTTTAGGATTTTCTACACACAAGATCATGTCATCTGCAAATAGATAGTATTTGACTTCTTCCTTATACAGATATGCTGTATATCTGTTCATGTACTCTGGTCCTTTCAAGGATTAGGAACAACTAGAGTATCTAAGACTATTAGTAGCCCTTCCTTGAACCAGTTTTAACCCTCTGTGGGCTAATAATGCCCTGTTGAGAATGCATGGTTTCAGGAAAGGCCCTATCACCAGTTATAGTGCAAGTCAGAAGTGTCAGGGAGTACTAACCCCTCCATGTGGCTCAGCTCATGGGTGGGGCCAGGCTGTAGGGAGATGGAAGGGAATATGGGCAGAGGTCTCTGAGGACATGCTTCCCTAGGTGACCTTGGTCCTGGACTGAGCCTGGGGGCGGAGCCTGAATCCAGGTGTCAGCTCCAGACCCTTTGGACTTGAATAAAGCAGATGTCTATAGACATCTATGGTGACTCTACTGGGAAAAGGGTCTAGAATTTTAACTGACTCCCCTCCTTGAAAAACAAAACAAAACAGAAAGTTTAGAAGTCTCTACCCACCCTTACGAAATGCATTTGCTGACAAATGAAGGGAAAATTCCTTCATTCTTGGCTCAAGGAACTTCCTGAAACTCAGCCCAAAGGAATTCTTTAAAGACCAGCTGCCTGGACTATGCTAAAGTCAGTATATAAATATAAATATCCCAAACTTCATAGCCAAGCGGATTTCAAAAGCTAGCTAGATAACCATGGAAATTTTCCACAAAGTTAGCCAGCCAAACAAGTGTGATAGGAGATATTACAAAATTCAATGTTGTTAAAACTGTGTTTGTTGCCCAGATTGAGTGCAGAGGGACTGGAGTCAGAATTTACCCAAGAGCCGACTCTCTCCTGAAGTT